TCATCATCACCCGTGAGATCTGTGTCTGTACTCTGAGTGTTTCAACCCTGCCCACTGTTGTTATTTTCTTCTTCACCTGTTTCAGAACAGTTTTGGGTTGTTATGATAGTTTCTGGCAATAAAATTCTGGTTATCTCTGTCTAGCTGTTTACATTCTGCTCGAACTTTATCTCTCGTAGACCTGAAACTTAGCAATAAGTCAACGTCTCTAGACGTTTATAGATTCTTTTCCAATAGTATTGCTTAAGCTTGATAAGTCGCCTCAGTTTAAAGTTGACATGCTTAACAACACAGCTACCACATATTTTCATAGGAACATATTTTGAAGTAGCCTCACTAATCAAAAAACAAAATTTCTGCCATAAATTTTCTACGTTGCTCTTTTGGTCTACATCCACAGTTGTATCAACAGATAACATGCTAGAAATATATTTGTTAATTGCATCGTACTGTCCAAGATTAAAACACAACTTCTTCCTAGGTTTACTGTGCAAAATTGAACAATCAAAAATTTTAAATGAAATCAATAAGTGGTCACTTCTGCCCAGAGGAGATAAATACTGTAAATCTGATACGCAATCTTCAGACGTGATAATTAAATCCAAAACATGCATCTACTTGCACTTACGTTCGGAAAGTTTTCTTCACAATTTAAATTTTTCAATAAATTTATCAATTTCGAGTTTAAAAAATTTAATTTTAAGTTATTAACAGTATTGGAAAATTTATTTAATTAATAATTTTCAAATCCTGTTGTATTTCGCCGACTAAAGAAAGTGAAAATGGAAAACACTAATCCTAACATAACCGCACGGACAAAGAAGGTGACCAATAAGATGAGTGATATTGCGGGATTGCATCTGTGTGAAGGTTGTAGGAAAGTAAATGAAGAAAGAATAAAAACACTGACTAATTATGAGGAGGAAGGATTGCTTGCTGCTATCAAACAGTTGGAAGAGAAAATGGCAAATGAAGTCAGATGTCTAACTCAGATGATGGAAAAAGTCACATTTAGAGAAGAGATGCTAAAAGAAGAGATGAGGGAACAAACAGTGGCGTCACTAGGGGGGTGCGGGGGGTGCGGACCGCACCGGGTGACACCCTCACAGGGGGTGACACCAAAATATCACTGTATATGTTTTTATGTCCCTCCATGAAATTATTCTTATCATTAATTCAGCCTAACCCGCCCAGCGCCCAGAAATGTATTATGAATAAAATTTTTTTCGTTCAAATCATTTTTGTACTCGACATTTATACCATTCAAATTCGACGTCCGAATTATTAAGCGCCGCGGCCGAGCACATTTAACTTGTTCGTGTTTATAAATTTTGCTAAGAATGCTGTATGTCTGTGGGGTGTCATGAGAAGGGTGACACCATGAGTTACCGCACCGGGTGACACCAACCCTAGTGACGCCACTGGGAACAAACTAACTTGAAGAATAGTCTCAATGAGGTAAAAAATCAGGTAGCCAAGGAAGAGGAAATGACAAAAAAGTGGAATGAAGTAGTTGAAGGTAATATTGAGAGTTTGACAACAAATGTCAAGGAAATACATTCATCGGTGCTGGACACAAAAAATCATCTGGATGTTGCTAATGAAAGAGATATCCGTCGAAACAATTTAGTCATTTTCAACATACCAGAAAATGAAAGTTTTTCTTGGAAAGCTGACAAAGAGAAAGTGCTTCAGTTGTTGAAGGAGATAACTGATGAAAACTTGGAGAAGGAGGTTTCAAATGTATTCAGACTTGGTAAAAGGGTGAATGATCAAAAACCAAGGCCTATTTTAATTAAATTATTGAATTTAACTACTAAAAACCTGATACTAGAAAACTGTTTCAAACTGAGGAGGAGTAAATCATTCAATGGAGTCTACATTAACCATGACCTTATTAAATTAGATAGAGATATTTGTAAACAGCTTCTCGATGATAAAAAGAAGAAAATTGCAGTAAAGGACGACATTAATAACTGGATATTTAGGATAAAAAGACAACCAGGTGAGTTTCATGTATTTGTTTTTAAAAAGACAAATTTATAAAGAGATCAAAGTCAAGAGAAGGCAGTGAGTTTAATTATAATCATCCTAGTGTGGTAAAGAATCCTAATGATGTGCTTAATATTTTGTATACCAATGTTGATTGTCTCACAAATAATTTTCAGAATTGAATCTATTTTTAGATGCATCGGATTTAAAGTATGATTTAATAGTTATAAATGAAGTAAACCCTAAAAATGTTAAAAACTCTTCATGGAACATTAACGAATTTAATTTGCCTGGATATAGTTACCTGGTTTCAAATTTCTGCAAAGCAAGTTATCGAGGTATTATGTTATATTACAAAATCAATTTGCAGCTGTTTAGTGTTCAACTGGATTCCATATTTGATGAATATTTGTGTGCCAGGATTAACGTCAGAGATCAAAATTTAAATTTAATGGTAATTTACAGAAGTCCTAATTCAAGTAATGATAATAATTGGTGTCTTGAATGAGTTTGGTGATTTGTCTGGTAGACATCTTGTTTTGGGTGATTTTAATTTTTCAGATATAGATTGGAAGCTGAGAGTTTGTGCAGGTTCTGACTACAAGATTGAAAATAGATTTTTGCAGCTTATTGATGATAGGTTTTGGCTGCAGCATGTCAACGAACCAACAAGATATGAAACTAAGAAGAAGAAGAAGGAGAAGAAGGAGAAGCACTAATTTGAACGGCACTCAGTGAGAAGTCCCCTCGCCGCGTCAAGGCAGCCGTTCACGAAGGTGATAATAATAAAAAGATAAAAGATCCTCATCAGGAAGCTTAGCCTCTATTGCACCTCAAATTGTTTAGTTATATAAACAATCCTATCTGCCTATTTATTAAAATATCTAACTTATGACATCTTGGAGTGTATTAGCGTCGTCTTTATGTTAGTGCGTTACAGATTTTAGGCTCTTTCGAATCAAACATGCCCTGCTCAGTTTAGAAGGCAGAAATGAGTAGGTAGGACGCTCTTTTCACCGAATCTACCCCGCTGTTCGATCATCCGAATCACCTGTGACTGCATGCTAAAATCCAGGGCCATCCGTCTGTAAGGTACCCTTAACTAATTAATAATTATCCCTAGCTTACTCAAAGGACAAAACTCAAGAGCCCAATTCACCCGTCCCACCACCTACATTGCCTTGGACTCCAACTTAATAATAATAATGTTAAACTTGATTATTGTTAATTTTTTTGGATATTTTGTGACATTATTTATTTGTTTGTTTGTTGATTCATCATTTGTTTGAATATTTATTTAAATTTGCACATAATATATGAAAAAAATATTTGATAAGTACCGAATACGCTGATTATTTAACAATAGAACATTTTCAACGGCAGTTAAAAAGTGTTCTCACATCGTAGAAGCACATATTTTTACGGCACACATACAAAATGTATGTGTGTGTGTTTGTCTGTCTGTGTGTGTGTCTGGTGTGTGTGTGTGTTTAGAGATACTCAAACCTAACCACAAACACGTAGGCAAAGATGAAAAAATTAGAATTCGGCTTGTTTATTCGTCCCGACGGGTATGACTACGAAAAATTGACTTTTTTGTTTTTGATGTTGATTTTGTTTGTGTTGTTGCTGCTGTTGTTGTTGTTGTTGTTGTTGCGACTGTTGTCGTTGCTTTGTGTTAGCGTTATTGCTGTTGATGTAATTATTGAGGTTTTTGTTGTTTTGATGTTGTTGTTGAGTATTTTTTGCTATTTATAACATGTATAGGAATACATATAACATCTTTGATATTGAAGAGTTAAAACGTTTAAGTAAATTAATGAAAAACTGAAAATAAACTTATATCAATAATAATATTTTCATTAAAAATAATAAAAAAAATTATGAATAATAATAATAATATTTGAATAATAATAAGATGAATAATAGAAATAATTACAACGTATGCAAGTCAAAAATAGGTGGTAAAAAAACAGTCTACGGAAGCTGGATGACTTAAAAATGCAGTTACCTTGATGATGATGACGATGATGATGATGATAGTAGTGGTGATGATGATGACGATAATGATGATGAGGAGGAGGATAATGGTAAAGATGATGTGTTTTTTCATTATTTGTGTTCATGTGGTTATTCAACAGTTGTAATATGGTTGTAGTATTAGCACTTAGCAGTTGTAGTCGTAGTAGTAGTCGAAGCAGCTGCAACAGCAGTAGTAGTAGCAGCAGAAGCAGTAGTAGTAGTAGTAGTAGTAATAATAGTAGTAGTAGTTGTTGTAGTAGTAATAGTAGTAGTAGCGTCATCATCAGCTGCAGCAGTAGTGGTGGGACGATAATAATGATGAGATTTTAGAATAAATATCATGATGAAGATAATAAATAAATGAATAATTATTATAATTATATTATCTCATTACCGCCATCTAGTCCCTCTGGCGTTAAAAGTGGAAAACTTTTGATGGGACAATTAAATGCGAAACATCAAACGATTTGCAACATTTACGATAAAATTACTCCGAAAATTATTTCATAATTGAAACACTCCTCTATTGCTGCATGATACAAAATTAAATAAAATATACTTAAATGAAATATAAATTTTTCTAAAATAAAAAACAATTTACATTCAAATATACAAACATATGATAACAATATAAGAGGCGAGATAACATGTGAGCAGATTAAAAACCGGTTACAATGAATTTCAAAACTCTTCCTTCATAATTTTATAAAAAAATAATTACCATAATTACTAGCGAAAAATAATATTTCTTATGTAATTATTAATGCAGATAGTGGAGACAAAAGTTTTTTTATAGGGAAGGGTGTTTCCGTGGTGTGAAGACCTCTACGGCATGGTGAGAAGGTTTAACCTTCACCCTTTAATCTTTAACCATAGATCATTGCCTCAGTTACAATGCTACTTGAATAAAATTAATACTACTAAAATAGTAATAATAATAACTAAGCATAAAAATAATAGTAGTAATAATAATACTTTTTTTAAGACAAAACACTGAGATGGCATTACTTCAGAAAAATACTTGGATAGTAAGTTTCACTTTACAGAGAAAGAGCTGTGTTGGTCCTCTCAAAAATCTCATATAAAGTTAGTTAAAAAAACTCATAAAAGGTAAGTGATGTCTTCGACGACGTCATGCTGTGACATCATTTCCGGTGAATTTCTCATTTGATGCAACTTCCGTTCACCAAAAACGTTTAATCTTATTTAGACTAATGTGTTCCTTAGTAGTACCACTAACACTATATAATACCACACCACAGCTAATAATTATTAGAGAGTGGCCAAGAAAATTACTGAAAGTATCATTGTTACGAGCAATAATACTGCCATTACAACATTTATCTTTGCATCTGAAAAGTATGAACATTGTTCTTTTACTACAAATGCAACAGTCAAGATGATAAATCTTTTTATACACTATCATCTCCGTGTCGCCATCATTTCGCCATTGCTATTTTCATCATCATCGCCATCATCATCGTCGTCAGTATTATAATTTGTTAACATTTTGTTGTTGTTATCATCATCAACATCGACATTTTTTTATCTCAACAATCCCCAGCGTCTGCTACTGTCTCTCTCTCTTTCTCTTTCTCTCTCTCTCTCTCTCTCTCTCTCTCTCTCTCTCTCTCTGTGTGTGTGTGTGTGTGTGCTGGTACCTAAAAAAATATTATAATTAACTATTTTTAACTAATTATTTCTGGAAAAAACAATTATTATTGTTTATGTAATTGCTTTAATCATCATCGTCATTATTTCATCCGGATCTTCATCATCAAATGTTGTTGTTATTATTTTTTTAATTTCAACACCGTCAGCGTTCCTAGCGTCTTAGGGATTACATTTTAAAAAAAATTTTCGTCGTCATCATCATCATCAATATCGTAATCATTATCATCCTCGTCATCATCGTCATCATCATCATCGTCATTATCATACCAACATCATAATCGCCATTATCGTAATCATAATTGTCATCATCATCGGCGTCATATCATTGCTAACATCAATTCTGCTATACCATACAAAACATCAACATCATCAAAATCATCATTTTCTTCGTCATCATCTTCATCATCATCGTCGTTGTCGTCATTTTCATCCTCCTCTTCTTCTTCCTCATCTTCTTCTTCTTCCTCATCATCTTCTTTTTCCTCCTCATCTTCTTTTTCTTCCTCATCTTCCGTACCACCAATACAACAGTCATCATAATCCTTTATTCATCCTCAACTTTAATCATTTTTTCACATCATCATCAATTTATCATCATCTTATTAATCATCTCAATCGGAATCGAAATATATCAAACCAAATATATCAAGCCAATCATCAAACAGTCATAAAGTTCTTACTCGTGCATCATTCATTTACACCTGCTTCATATAGACACGCAAAAACAAAACCACATGAAATATGTTAATAAATAACACTGACATATAAGATTTTTTTCCCTGTAAAACAATAATTGTTTCTATATAACTTTTTTTACAATGGTCTCAAACCTGAAAACCGTTTAGCTCTATCATATCGCGAGTTTGTGGAAGCGTTGCGATCCTCCTGGATATGAAAGTCTCTGCAATCGTCCTTGCTGTTATATTATCATGGCCTATCTCGGTCATGAATGTGACGTTAAGAACTGGCGTCTCTGCGTGAAAAGCAAGTTTAAAATATAAAAGTTGATTGCCATCGATTGCGGTTGCCCATCACACAGAGTCAAAATAAATTTACGACAACATCAATAATGTCTTAATAAAAGAAAATAAAGATTAAAAAGATGGGATGTGTGAAAACATGAAAGTCGTTCAATGCCTGGAACTATTCAAGTCAGTAACACAAAGTTCTGTTATTTTCTCTGTGAATTGAACAGTCAGGATAGAGATACTTACGTTATCCGAAATAGGTTATGCTCTTTAGGTATTGCTTAAAACTTGCTCAAGAAATATTTTGTATGAGTCACCTGGTTCTCACAAAGACATCCTATTACCAGTTATACAAATCAGGTTGAGTCCAGTGAAGATTTTTGTAAAAAAAAAAACAATGGATAAAATGAATGATATTTCTACACATCTTTGTTCCATGTTCCTGCAAATCATTGATGGTCAAATAAAAGAGGAAAAGATATGTCTGTTGGCTCTCAGACTCGAAAAGCATAAACATACACCTACATACAAATATATACAAACGCTGGCGTTAGCAAATCAACATAGAATAATATACAAATGTTTTTTAATTCAAAACTTAGCAACTTTTGAAAAAAAAAACACACACACAAAATTTAGCTTCAGGCAAATTTATAATCCTTTAAGATCCAAGCACGAAAAACAAAAATATATTAAAAATAATTTACAAATGTTTTGAAACAAAACTTCATCTTCAAATGCATGCCAACATGCAAAAAACATACAGCCAACATTTTTTCTATTTTTCTCTCTTCTTCTCTATTTGTATTTGTCTTTTACTCCACTTTTTCCTTATTCTTTAGAAGCATCAGCAACAAACACACATTTGTACTTGAAAACACGTTAAAAACGCATTACGAAACAGACGTGGTTCTCTTTGCGATTGATTCCTGCTACAGTGAAAACTGTGCCAGACACTTTACCGTTACACCACCGCACCTTCCATTTATCTGTCTCTCCTTATATTTTTCTGAATTTTCATTTCTCTCTCTCTTTCTCTCCCCCTCTCTCTCTCT